TGCTGGGAAGGTGGCTCAGTGGTAGAGTCCTTGCCTTGCATGCATGAGGCCCTGGGTTCAATTCCTCAGCACCACATAACCAGAAAAAGCTGGAAGTGGCGCTGTGACTCAAGTGGTAGAGTGCTAGCCTTGAGCCAAAGAGCTGAGGGACAGTGCCCAGACCCAGAGTTCAGGCCCCACAACTGACAAAAAAATTATAAATATTTTTCTATGAAAACTAAATTGAGGGGCTGGGGGTTTAGCCCAGTGGAAGGGCGCCTGCCCGGAGCACACAATGCCCTGGGGTCGGTCCTCAGCCCTGGGGGGAAAAAAAAAACTACAAAAGACCAAAAAAAAAAATAAGGCAACAAAAACTAAATTGAAGGCTTTTCAAAGGCTTATTAAAGGCAAATTCCTAAAAAAAATTGTGAAACTAGATGTGAGAAATCTGTGAATAGAAACACTATAATCATCTAGAATGTTGTGTAACCACCATTCCTCTCTAGTTTCAAAACTTTACAGCACCCTGAAAAAATACCCATACTCCTTAAGTAATCATTTGTTTTTTCCTACCACCCCTAATAATCTCTAGTCTATATTTTGACTTTAGGGAGTTACCTATTCTGGATATATATTAAAAGGGTAATCTTATTTATTTATGTATTTATATTTTGGGTCCCGGTCGTGGGACCTGAACTCTGGGTCTGGGCACTGTCCTTCAGCTCTTCAGCTCAAGGCTAGTGCTCTACCACTTGAGCCACAGCACCATTTCTGGCTTTTTTTTTTCTTATGTGGTGCTGAGGAATCGAACCCAGGGCTTCATGCATGCAAGGCAAGCGCTCTACCACTGAGCCACCTTCCCAGCCCAAGGGTAATCTTTTTTAAATGTATGATCTTTTATGTTGGGCTTGTTTCACTCAACTTTTTTTTTTTTTTGGGGTCCGGTCATGGGGCCTGAACTCTGGGCCTGGGCGCTGTCCCTCAGCTCTTCACTCAAGGCTAGCACTCTACCACTTGAGCCACAGCGCCACTTCCGGCTTTTTTTCTTTTTTGCTTATGTGGTACTGAGGAATCGAACCCAGGGCCTCAGGCATGCAAGGTAAGCGCTCTACCACTGAGCCACCTTCCCAGCCCCTCACTCAACTTTTTATTTTCTGGTCCTGGGGCTTGAACTCAGGGTCTGGGTACTGTACCTCAGCCTCTTTGTGCTCAAGGCTAGTGCTCTACCACTCTGAGCCACAGCACCACTTCTGGTTTTTTCTGGGCTGGCTTTGAACCACAATCCTCAGATCTCAGCCTACTGAGTAGCTAGCATTACAAGTATGAGCCATAGGTGCCTGGCTTTTTCACTCAGCATGTTTTTGAGGTTCATCCAAGTTGCAGTGTGGATTAATATTCCATTCCTTTTTATGGCTCAACAATATTCCAAGATAGCCAGGCGCTAGTGGCTCATGCCTGTAATCCTAGCTACTCTGAGGATCATGGTTCAAAGCCAGCCCGGGCAGGAAAGTCCGTGAAACTCTTATCTCCAATAAACCACCAGAAAACCAGAAGTGGTGTTGTAGCTCAAGTGGTAGAGCACTCACCTTGAGCTGAAGAGCTGAGGGACAGCACTCAGGCCCAGAGTTCAAGGCTCATGACCAACAACAACAACAAAAATCTTAGGATCTAAATATACCACGGTATCTACCCACCTTCTGGCTATTATCAAGAATGCTAGTATAAACATTATACAAGTTTCTTTGGGGATGTATGTTTTTATTTCTCTTGGCTATATATTTAGGATTTCAATTTCTGGGACTTGGGGCAATTGTATAATTCTTTTTGAGGAACTACGTTATTTTTTAGGATGTTTTTCAGAATTGGGCACATGATTATATTTCCACCAGTAGTGTACAAAGGTCTCTATATCCAAGGGTCACTGGAGAAGACAGACATACTCCTGTTTCCACATGTCCTGGCCAACACTCATTTTCCATCCTTACCTGCCCACTCCCCTCCCCCCCCTCCCCCCAGGACTTCCTATCTATTCTTGCTGGGCTTGCTTGCTCAATAAATGCTCTATCTGTTGTGCCAACTCTGCTTTTTCTGGTTAATTGGAAATGATTCTAGGGTGTACTCTTTTTTTTTTTTTTGGTCGTGGAGCTTGAACTCTGGGCCTGAGCGCTGTTCCTCAGCAATTCAGCTCAATGCTAGGTGTCTACCACTTGAGCCACAGAGCCACTTCTGGTTTTCTGGTGGTTAATTGGAGATAAGAGTCTCATAGCCTTACCTGCCCAGGCTGGCTTTGAATTGTGATCCTCAGATCTCAGCCTCCTGAGTAGCTAGAATTACAGGTGCATGAGCCACTGGTGCCTGGCTTAGGGTGTACTTTTCTGCGAGGGCTAGCTTCAAACCATGATTCACAGATCTTAGCCTCCTGAGCTAGGATGAACTATCAGCACCAGGTTATTTTTCAGTTTTATTTTTTATTATTATCACTGACCATTCAGAGGTGTGAACTTGTCCTTGCTTTTAGAAATCCTGTTTGCTTCAAGACAAGGAGTATTAGTCCTTGCCATGATTAGTACTGGCTGACATTCCCTTGTTTTTCTTTTTTTTGGGGGGGGTCCTGGCGTGGGGCCTGAACTCTGGGCCTGGGCACTGTCCCTCAGCTCTTCAGCTCAAGGCTAGCGCTCTACCAGTTGAGCCACAGCGCCACTTCCGGCTTTTTTCTTTTTGCTTATGTGGTGCTGAGGCACCAGGCATGCAAGGCAAGCACTCTACCACTGAGCCACCTTCCCAGCTCCTCCCTTCTTTTTCTAACACAGGTTTGAGTCTTCTTCCTCTCTTCCTTCCAAAGTGCTTTTCAAAAATTTTTCTTGCTGGGAGCTGGTGTCTCACACCTGTAATCCTATCTACTCAGGAGGCTGAGATCTGAGGGTTGCAGTTCAAAGCATACCAGGGGTAGGAAAGTCCATGAGACTCATCTCCAATTAACCACCAGAAAACTTAAGTGGTGCTGTGGTTCAAGTGGTAGAGTGTCTTGAGCTGAAGAACTGAGGGACAGCACCCAGGCCCAGAGTTGAAGCCCCACGACTGACCAAAAGCAATATTTTTCTTTTCTAGCTGAGTGCCAGAGACTCACAGCTGTATTCCTAGCTACTGGGGAGGCTGAGATTGAGTATTGCAGTTTGAAGTCAGCCTGGGCAGGAAAGTCCATGAGATTATTTTTATTATTAGTTTACATTACTGTTGTTATAGAGGTAATGTACAGAGGGATTATAATTTCATGAGTCAGGTAATGAGTGTGTTCTGTTCCCTCACTCTTTTCCAGTCCCTCCCTCCCCTCTCCACCCACGAGTTGGATAGTTCACTTTCATCAATGTCTACTGAGCTCCACTGATGCACTTTTTCACCTTTTCTCCCTTGAGTTCTGTACCCTCCCACAACCCTTCTAAAGTTGTACACTAGGTATACCATACATAGGGCAAAGAAGACTGAATCATTGAAAACTGAAAGCTAAAAAAAAAAGAGAGAGAGAACAGAGGTCTCTTGTTTCTATATCTTGGAGTTCATTTCAGTATTTTATATGAGTACTTAAGCATTGTGCCTTTGAGTTTCTCTCTTACCAGTATCTTTTTTTGGTCTCACTGAGTCTCTAGAATCCTATATAATTTATCATTTCCCAGTGTGTTTTAGATCTAATTTCCACATACCAGAGAGAATATGTGCTGTTTGTCTCTCTGAGCTTAACTTACCTCACTTAACATGATTTGTTCTAGTTTCATCCATTTCCCTGCAAATGACATTATTTTATTCTTTCTAATGGCTGTGTAAAATTCCATTGTCTATAGGTATCACATTTTTGGGATCCACTCATCTATTGTGGGGCATCTGGTCTGTTTCCCTATCTTGGCTGTTGTGAATAGCGCAGCAATAGCTATGGATGTACAGGTGTCCTTATCATATCCTGGCTCATGAGGTTCAGGGTAGATGCCCAAGAGTGGTATAGCTGGATCATAAGGAAGGTTTATGTTTATTTTTTTGAGGAACCTCCAGATTGCTGTCCGGAGTGGTCATACTAGTTTACATTCCCACTTACATTGCAGTAGGGTTCCTTTTTCCACATCCCCAACATTTGTTGTTGTTCCAGTTCACAATTGGTCACACTAACTGAGGTGAGATGGAATCTCAGAGTTGTTTTGGTTTGCATTCTGTAAGCTTCTTCAGTAAACTCACAGAAAAAGCCGTTAGTGGTGCTGAGGCTCAGACCTGAGGGGCGGGGGAGCTCAGGGTCAGCGCCAGGGTCAGGGTCAGGGTCAGGCCCAGAAGGTCTTTTGTTTTGTTTTTTGCAGGCCCCAGAAACAGCGACGTCCGCCCCTCCCCCTGAAAAAAAAACTCCTTTTCCTTTATTTTTTATTTTTTTGGGTCCGGTCGTGGGGCCTGAACTCTGGGCCTGGGCGCTGTCCCTCAGCTCTTCAGCTCAAGGCTAGCGCTCTACCAGTTGAGCCACAACACCACTTCTGGCTTTTTCCTTTCTGCTTATGTGGTGCTGAGGAATCAAACCCAGGGCCTCATGCATGCAAGGCAAGCGCACTACCACTGAGCCACCTTCCTAGCCCTCCTTTTCCTTAAAAAAAAAAAGAAAATCCCGGGGTCTGGGGAGCAAACCAGGGCCTTGCACATTCTGCCTCTGAGCTACATGCCCCAAACATGGCATTTCCCTGCTAAAAGCCCTGGATACATCACGAGGGGGACGAGCCAGGAATCGAACCCACCAGAGCGCTCCGTGATGTGCGCACCCTCCCCGACTTCTCAGAGCCTCAGTATCCCTACCTGAGCAGTGAGAGAGAAGGGTTGGTGGGGGTGGGGGTGGGGGCGAGGCGGTGTCATCCATCAAAGGACTCGACACACAGCTGTGCTGGAGTGCAGCAAACGCCCCGACTCCCGGAGGCCCCGCCCACTGCGGGTTCCTCCAGGCCGACGCCCACCGGGCGGTCACGTGCGCAGAGCGCGCTCCCGCGGTCATGTGACTCAGTCAAGATGGCGTCGCCCTGCTGGCTGTGGCTGCTCGCTGTCGCTCTCCTGCCCTCGTCCTGTGGCGCCCCTGCGTTGGAGCATCTCGGCGCGCCGGCGCCGGTGCCGCTGGTGATCTGGCATGGGATGGGTGAGTGACTGTGGGCAGTCGGGGTGTCGCTGCTGTCTCCTCCCAGCGTAGCCTCGCGGCCCCACAGTACGAGTGAGTAGGGTCGAGAGTGTTCCCACAGCACCCCATGGGTCCCATTTCATATTTGGTGGCGCGGCTCTGCATTGGGAGGAGGGAAAAGAGCTGTGCCCTGTGTCGAGATTTTGTCTTTGTTTGATACCTGCAGAAGTGGCCTCTCGCGCTTGGTCAGGCTAGCTAGTGCCCACCTGAGCTAGCGTGTCTATTCATTCGTTTACGCACTGAACAGAGATTTGTTAGACTCCTGCAGCTGGCTTATACATTTAACACATAGTCAGCACTTGATACAGCGGTGACTGCAACGAACTAAATCCTTCCTCCTCCATGATAAGGGAGTCATGTCAAGTGGCGGTAAGTATATGGAGGAAAGAGGAAAAAGGGGAATGCAGACTGAAGATGGGGTTTGCACTTTTATAGAGCAAAGGTCAGGAAAGGACTCACTGAGGAAGGGGCATCCAAGCAAAGATCTGGAGTGGATGTGGAGGTGCCATTTGGATGTGTGGTAAAAGGAAAAACAAATGCAAAGGCCTTGAGCCAGAAGTTTGTCTTGTATGTTCATGGAACTGCGTTCAGCTGTGAATAACTAGAGCTAAGTAAGGATAGGAGATTAAAGTTTAAATTAGAGAGCGGGGTGAGCACAGATGTGTTTTAGCCTACTAAGGTTAATGTGAGGACTTGGCCTGCTGTGAGGTAGACACAATCTGACTTGCATTTTAAAAGGATCATTCTTACTGCTCTATTGAGAATAGATTGTTGGGAGACTTGGACAGGTGTAGTGAGACAAGAAGCTATTGCTATTACTTTAACTTTTAAGAGATGATGGCTTAGAACTGTAGACACAGTAGAGGAATTAAAGAAGTGGCCAAAGTTTGGGTTTATTTTGAGGGTGAAACGTAAGGGATTTAGATGTAGTTTGAGAGAAAAAGAAGGGACACCGCAGGTTTTGGTCTGGATAACTTGAAGTGTGATGGTGCACTTTACTAATGTGGGGTAGCCTGTAAGGTGAACACACTTGATCAAAAGTGCCTTTTTGTTGTTGTTGTTGGTTGTGAGGATTTAACTCAGGGCCTAAGCACTGTCCCTGAACCTCTTTGTGCTCAAGGCTAGCATTCTATCACTTGAGCCACAGCACCACTTCTGGCTTTTCCTGATTAGTTTATTGGAGATGAGTGTCATGGGGACTTTTTTGCCAGGGCTGGCTTCAAACCTCGATCCTCAGATCTCAGCCTCCTAAATAGCTAGAATTGCAGGTGTGAACCACTGGCACCCAGCTCAAAGTACTTTTAGAGGATCGGCACTAGTGACCCAGGTCTATAATCCTAGCCTCCTGAATAGGAGGCTGAGATCTGAGGATTGCAGTTCAAAGCTAGCCTGCGCAGGAAAGTCCATGAAACTCTTATCTCTGCTTAGCCACCAGAAAACTGGAAGTGGTGCTGTGGCTCAAAGTGGTAGAGTGCTAGTCTTGAGCTAAAAGAGCTCAGGAGCAGCGCCCAGTCCCTGAGTTCAAGCCCTATGACCAACAACAACAAAGAATGCTTTTTGATGTACTAAGTTTGAGGTCCTTGCTGTAGAATGGTCAGTGTTTCAGGGGCATTTTGAGTGGACAGTCTAGGAGAGACAAGCTGGAGGTTTAAGGTGAAGCTTTTGGTATCTTGGCTAGCATTTAAAGCCAGCATTGATGAGATCACTCTAGGAGTGTGTACTCAGAGTACTGAGCCCTGTGGGAGGTAGAGGAGATGAGGAACTAGCAAAGGTGGCAGTGACAAAACACCTGTGGTGTCCCTGCCATATCCTGGAAGTCAAGTCAAGTAGAAGGGAGTGTCTCCTAGATCATATATTGTTGATAGGTCAGTAAGATTGGGCTTGAAAACTGATTATTGGATTCAACAATGTAAAGACAGGTACTAATACTTACAAAAGCAGTTTGGGATTGGGGTAAGAACCACAGCTTTATTGGAATGACCAGAAATGTTCAGAAAGGAGTTTAGTTAGCAAGTTTACACAAGGCTTTGTTGTGCTATCTCCCCTCCCTGCAATCTCCAACTTACTTTGAACTAGTCATGTTAAAAGAGTAGGTAAGATAGATGCCTCACCTTCTCCCAGCATTCATAGTTCACAAAGAAGCAGTATTTAAGCAGTAATTACAGTTTAGTGTGGTACATGTTGTTAGCAGTGATATAGAAGATTCTCTAGGCCAGAGCTTTTCCTTCTTTAAACAGAATCTTAAGCTTCCGCAGATGTTAAAAATAGGATGAGTAAGTGCACCAGTGGAAACTTGTTTTCAGTTTTTGTTGTTGTTGTTGGTTGTGGGGCTTGAACTCAGGGCCTGGGCACTGTCCCTGAGCTCTTTTGCTCAAGGCTAGTGCTCTGCCAATTTGAGCCAAAGCTCCACTTCTGGTTTTTAAATGGCATTTGGAGATAAGAGTCTCATGGGGACTTTTCTACCTGGATTGGCTTCAAACTGCGATCGTTAGATCTCAGCCTCCTGAGTAGCTAGGATTACAGGCGTGAGCCACCGGCTCCTGACTTGTTTCCAGTTCTTACTGCTGGTTCCTTCACAAGACAAGGAGTAGTCTGAGAGCAGCATAAAACAAGGGCACACCTAGAACACAAAGTTAAAGAGGCTTTTACCCAGGGTCAGCAGCACTTAATAGCAAGCTGAGAGTGAATGCCTCTTTAAATTTTGTGCCTTCTCTGCTTCTCATAAACCATGAGTTGGACAGCTTTCCTCTGGTGCTACCACTGTGATGTTCTTCCTCACCACAGGCTCCATGATCCTGTGGGACAAAGTCAATGAAGACTTAAACCATGAATCAAAATAAATCCTTCTTAAAAATAGACAAACAACAAACCAAACATGCTTTAAGGCTTTACTTGATGCATCCTGGCTCTGGTTGTGAAGAGAAACCTTTGAGTTTTTTCACCCTAAATGGCCTACATGACAAAAGAAGGAAAATACCCCTCTTTTTATGTTTCTCTTGTAAACTTTCTGTCCCAGTTATATCGGATGAGCTTTTTGGGGGTAGTACTGGAAACTGAACTCTGGGCTTCTGGCTTGCTAGGTAAATGCTCTACCACTTGAACTATACCTAATCCCCTCCCCCCCCCCCCCCCCCCCGCCCGCACCCCCATTCCTCAGTCCTGGGGCTTGAACTCAGGGCCTGGGCACTGTCCCTGAGCCTCTTTTGCTCAAGGCTAGCACTCTACCACAGTGCCACTTCTGACCTTTCTTTTTATGTGGTACTGAGGAATCAGACACAGAGCTTCATGCATGGTAGGCAAGCACTCTACCACTAAGACACATTCCCAGCCCTCTTTTCCTTTTAATTTGTTTTTTAGATCGTGTCTTGTGCTTTTGCCTAGACCAGCATTATAGGCATGTGCCACCACGATCAACTCAGGTTTTTGAAGCTTGCTATTATTTGATGAGCTAATAAAAGTTGTTTTACTTGATAAGAAATGTACTCACTATCTTGCCCTTTTGTAACCCCTCTGTATGATATTTTCACAATAATAAAAAAAACCAAAAAAGTTGTTTTACATTTTTTTTGAAAGTGAAATTCATATAATCTAAAGTGAACCATTTAAAGTGGACAATTCAGTAGCACTTAGTGTTTTCTTTTTTTTTTTTAACTTTTTTTTTTTTTGGCGGGTCGTGGGGCTTGAACTCTGGGCCTGGGCGCTGTCCCTCAGCTCTTCAGATCAATGCCAGCGCTCTACCACTTGAGCCACAGCGCCACTTCCAGCTTTTTCTGCTTATGTGGTGCTGAGGAATCGAACCCAGGGACTCATGCATGCAAGGCCAGCACTCTACCACTGAGCCACCTTCCCAGCCCCGTACTTAGTGTTTTCATAGTGTTGCTCAACCACTATTTCTCTCTAGCTTCAAAACTTTTTATCACCCTGAAAAAACATCCATACTCCTTAAGTAACCATTCAGGTCTCCCTCTTATCATCCCTAATAACCTCTAGCCTACATTCTGTCTCTAGGGAGTCTCACTTTATCCCTTGGCTGTGATCCACTTATTTGTGCTTCTCTGTATCACTGTGGATGACAGGCATGTGCTATTACAACCAGCCATTGTACTTCTCTTGTGGCTGGGATAATAAGTTGAGAAATAGTCTTGTGAACTTTATTTCTGTTGGGGCTGGCCTTGAATAGACCCAAGTAGGTAGGATTACAGGTGTGAGCCAAGATAGCTGCAAAGTTATTAAAAGCATTCCAGATAGATATGAAATGGTATGACATTGCTTTTATTTGTATTTCCTTAAAAACTTGTAATGCTTATTGTTGGATATTTAATGTATTGTTTGGAGAAATGTCTCTGAGTCCTTTTCCCGTTTGTTAATTGCATTGTTTGACTTGAGTTGTAAGAACTTATATACTCTGGATGTTAAGTTTATATTGAATCTATTTTTTTGCAAATGTTTTCTCTGGTTCTATATGTTGTCTTTTCACCTTGATAATGCCCTTTCAGGTACAGTAGTTTTCAAAAATCAATACTATTTTGATTTCTGAATTTTCATCACTGTTTCTAGGAGACAGCTGTTGTAATCCCATAAGCATGGGTATCATCAAGAAAATGGTTGAGAAGAAAATACCTGGAATTTATGTCTTGTCTTTAGAGATTGGAAAGACCATGGTAGAGGTAAGACCCTCCACAGCTCTGTCCCCTTAAAGGTTTCACATACAGTTTCATAGAATGTACTATGAGAGCCCAGTGCCTGTGGCTCACGCTTGTAATCCTAGCTACTCAGGAGGCTGAGATCTGAGGATCGTGGTTCAAAGCCAGCCCAGGCAGAAAAGTCCATGAGACTCTTTTTTTTTTTTGGTTCTGGTCGTGGGGCCTGAACTCTGGGCCTGGACGCTGTCCCTCAGCTCTTCAGCTCAAGGCTAGCGCTCTACCACTTGAGCCATAACACCACTTATGTGGTGCTGAGGAATCGAACCCAAGGCCTCATGCTTGCAAGGCAAGTGCTCTACCACTGAGCCACCTTCCCAGCCCTCCGTGAGACTCTTATCTCCAATAAACCATTGGGAAAACCAGAAGTTGTGCTGTGATGCAAAGTGGTTGAGCACTAGCCTTGAGCACAAGAGCTCAGGGACAGTGCCTAGGCCCTGAGATCAAGCCCTACAAACTCAAAAATAAAAATACACACACACACACACCGCCTCAGATTGGCTTGGAACTCACTAAGTAGCACACACACACACACACACACACACACACACACTGCCTCAGATTGGCTTGGAACTCACTAAGTAGCGCGCGCGCGCGCGCACGCACGCACGCACGCACGCACGCACGCACACACACACACACACACCACCTCAGATTGGCTTGGAACTCACTAAGTAGCCCAGTCCAGAAACTTGAGATCCCTTGAGATCCTCCTGTCTCAGCCTCCTGAGTGCTGGGATTATAGATATGCACAGCTACATTGGCTAATTAGCCCCATTCTCCACTGCTTGAACTCCAAGCTTTGTGCTTGCTAGGCAGGAGCTTGTTTTCATCATTTTTGAAAATAGGATCTTGCTTTTTGCCTGCGCAGGACTATAGTCCTATTTATACTTTCCATGTAGCTGGAATGACAGGTGTGAATCACTATGCACTTTTTTTTTTTTTTCTTGTCGATTGAGATGGGAAGGGGTCTTAAAGCTTTTTGCCTAGGCTGGACTCAAATTGCAGTTCTCCTGATCTCAGCCTTCTGAGTATATAGGATTACAGATGTGAATTACTGTGCCCACTTATCTCCACTCATGAGTAGTTTATGTCAAGGAACCAACACCAACCTGAGTGAGTTCACGTCTTAGAGAAAATACAAGTGATTGCTTTCAATCCAACCCTTTCATTTCTCTGTATCTCTGTGACTCCTTTTTTAGGACGTGGAGAACAGCTTCTTCTTGAATGTCAATACCCAAGTATCAACAGTGTGTCAGATTCTTGCTAAAGATCCTAAATTACAGCAAGGCTACAATGCTATGGGATTCTCTCAGGGAGGCCAGTTTCTGTAAGTCTCTTTCTGCTGTATAGTGGCCTTTGCATTTTGCAAATTGGTTTGTTTCTTGTTGTTGTTTGCCAGTCCTGGGGCTTGAACTCAGGGCCTGGGCACTGTCCTTGCGCTTCTTTTGCTCAAGGTTAACACTCCAGCACTTGAGCCACGGTGCCACTTCCGGCTTTTTCTGTTTATGTGGTACTGAGGAATTGAACCCTGGGCTTTATGCATGCTAGGCAAGCACTCTACCACTAAGCCACATTCCCAGCCCTGTTTATTTCTTTTATTCAGATAAACTGGACTCTAATTCTTTGGTATCTTAGTTATTCTGAAATGGCCTCATGTACTCAAACAAATCATGTTGAGTGAGATAAGCCAAGCTCAGAGAAACAAGTGGCACATGTTCTTTCTGATATGTGGAAATTAGATCTAAAATACACTAGGATATGATAAATTATACAGGATTTTAGAGACATACAAAGTAAGAACAAAAGAGGATACTCATAGGAGAGAAACACAAAGACTCAATGCACAAGTGCCTCATCATATGTATATAAAATAATATACATTTTGAAATGAACTCTAAGATATGGAAACAAGAGACCTTTCTTTTTTTCTTTTTCTGTTTTGATGATTCTGTCTTCACTTTGTACAGTATATTTAGTTTATGTCTTTGGGAGGGTTGGGGAAGTTTTGGTATGAGCTGTAGAAATAGGGAAAAAGGGTGAAAAAGTAAAGCAGTGGAGCTCACTGGACGTTGATGAAAGTGAACTATACAGCTATACAACTCATGGGTGGAGATGGGAGGGAGGGCCTAGGAGAGAGTGAGGAACAGAAGACAGTGCATGAAAGGAAATGTACTCATTGTCTGACGCATGTAATTGTACTTCCTCCGTATATCACCTCTATAATAACAATAAAGTAAATTAATAATAAAATGGCCTCATGTTGGAAGCTGTATGGAAACTTAATTTATTTTCTATGAAAGAATGATTTGTATATAGACAGAGCAGAGGAAAATCCTATAACTAACTCTGGCTTTGGAAAACCACAGTGGATCAAGGTGCTTTTTAATCTGTAAAGCCAACTGTTGATTCTTTCCCATCTATCATTCAGAGCTGATAACCCCTTTTATTTCTCCAGGAGGGCTGTGGCTCAGAGATGCCCTTCACCTCCCATGGTCAACCTGATCTCAGTTGGGGGACAACATCAAGGTAACATTGACCTCTTCATCTCCTGGTTTCTTTTTTATAATTCATGTGCCCCCTTGATTTATTTATTTACTTTTCTTGATCTAGCAGTTCTATTTGCACAGTAAGCCAATCACCCTTGTAAAATCCTATTTCTACAGCTCATAGCAAAACTAGGCAGCCTTAATGAGGAGATAGGAAGTGACTAAGGATTCCAGAGCCCTAAAACAGAGGTTAGCATCTACTGAATAAGGTTAACATCCTCTTTTCTCCCATTTAATTGAATTGATTTGCGGAAGAAAAGTGGTTGCAGCAGTTAGTGGAAGTTAAGAAAACATAATGACTTGCCCTGTTTTCAAACTCTGTTAGTAGATAGCATTTTTTAGGTGGTAGGATGGTGGAGTACAATGGGGGATTTCAGCTCAGGGCTTTGCATTTCTTAGGCAGGTGCTCAACCACTTGAGGCATGTCCTGAGTCCTTGGGTAAAAATCATGTATAAGTACCTTGGTCTATAAATTTAAACAGTAGCCAAATAAACTGAAAAGTAGAACTTTTTCTATTTACACGGAAGTTTCTCTGAGGGGAAAGAATGTATTATATTAGGTATAATAAATAATACCTAAGCGCTCAGTGGTAGAGCATTTGCCTTGCATGCATGTGGCCCTGGGTTCGATTCCTCAGCACCACATAAGCAAAAAAAAAAAAAAAAAAGCCGGAAGTGGCGCTGTGGCTCAAGTGGTAGAGTGCTAGCCTTGGGCTGAAGAGCTGAGGGACAGCGCCCAGGCCCAGAGTTCAGGCCCCACAACTGGGCCAAAAAAAAAAAAAGAAAAGAAAGGTACTGGGGTGGATGCTACTTGAGACTGGCTTACCATAATTGATTTTCCTAAGCAAAGACTTAATAAACAAAATGAATACAGCTACTGGCTGTAGAGTATAAGCAGTACTCCTCCAGTATGGGTTGAGGCGGGGTGGGGCAAGGCAGAGACCCAGCCTTTTTTTTTTTTTTTTTTTTTGTCAATCATGGGGCTTGAACTCTGGGCCTGGATGTTGTCCCTTAGCTCTTTAGCTCAAGTCCCTATCACTTGAGCTATAGAGCCACTTAGGGTTTTCTGAGTGGTTTATTGGAGATAAGAGTCTCTTGGAGTTACCTGCCCTGCCCAGGCTGGCTTTGAACCATGATCCTCAGATCTTAGCCCTCCCGAGTAGCTAGGATTACAGGCATGAGCCATCAGTGCCCTGCTTAAGGCAGAGACCCTAGGCAGCAAACAATGGGAGTGTGTAGAGGAAGCTGTTTACACTCTTTCCTGGAGGAATGAATGATTGGGATGTGGCTTTTGCCTGTTTTGGTTTTTCACAGTGCTTTGTACATAGTAGATATCTGTTATGATGATTAGAGGAATGGATGTTTGTCTTTTACCACTTCAGGTGTCTATGGACTCCCTCGATGTCCAGGAGAGAGCTCTCACATCTGTGACTTCATCAGAAAAACACTGAATGCTGGTGCTTACTCTAAAGTTGTTCAGGAACGGTGTGTATTTATAGCTGAAAAAGATACAGATCTGCCACTGTGTGACATTCATACTAGCAGTGATTCTAGGAGGTGCTAATGATATTTGAGTGACATTTATTTATTTATTTTTATTTTATTTTTGTCGGTTGTGGGGCTTGAACTCTGGGCCTAGGCGCTGTCCCTCAGCTCTTCAGCTCAAGGAAAGCGTACTACCACTTGAGCTACAGCACCACTTCCGGTTTTCTGGTGGTTTATTGGAGATAGGAATCTCAGGGTCTTTCCTGCCTGAGCTGGCTTTGAACCGTGATCCTCAGATCTCAGCCTCCTGAGTAGCTAGGATTACAGGCATGAGCGACCGGCACCTGGCTTGAGTGACATTTATTGTAACTTTCTGTACTGTCTTCCCACTTAAACTTGCTCTGGAAAAAAAGCTGTTATCAGAGAGAGAGAAAAGAGAACGAAAGGAAGAAAGAGGAAGAAAAGATGGAAGGAAGGAAAGGATGGAGGGAGGGAAGAAAGAAGGAAGAGAAGGAGGGAGGGAGGAAGATAGATAGGTCTATTTTTCTATGTAGGAAGAATGCAATTATAATGAATATTCAGGGCTGGGAAGGTGGCTCAGTGGTAGAGCACTTGCTTTGCATGCCTGAGGCCCTGGTTTCGATTCCTCAGCACCACATAAGCAAAAAGAAAAAAGCCGGAAGTGGCGCTGTGGCTCAAGTGCTGGAGCACTAGCTTTGAGTTGAAGAGCTGAGGGACAGTGCCCAGGCCCAGAGTTCAGGCCCCACGACCGGGCCCCCCCCCCCAAAAAAAATGAATATTCATCCTTAAAAACAAAAATAGAGAGATATCTGTAGGTATACAGAATGGGTGTGAAAATGACCTCCCAAAGACCCTCTGTTCTATTTTTTCCAGATAGTTCTGAGTCTTTAGGCTCATTTTCTTCTATCTCTAATATGAGTTGGTGACAGTACCTTACTGTGGGCTGTTGTAGGCATTAAAACAAATGGAGTATAAAGCATGTAGTGTAGTGTTTACTTCTTAGGAAGCAGGCAGATTTTGACTATCAAAACCTGGTGATAGCAGGGCACCAGTGGCTATTCAAGAGGCTGAGATCTGAGGGATCGCAGTTTGAAGCCAGCCCAGTCAGGAAACTCAGTGACTCGTCAATAAACTTTTCAGAAAAAGCTGGAAGTGGCACTGTGGCTCAAGGTAGAGCGCTCGCCTTGAGCACAGTCTTAGCGACAACACCCAGGCCTTGAGTTCAAGCCCCAGGATTGGCAAAAATGAAACACAAACAAACCTGTTGGTGGCTGGGTGCCAGTGGCCCTTGTCTGTAATCCTAGCTACTGAGGAGGCTGAGATCTGAAGATCAAAGTTCAAAGCAAGAAAGTTGTTGAGAGTCTTTAACCACAAAAAGCTGGAAGTAGAGCTGTGGCTCAAGTGGTAGAGTACCAGCCTTGAGCAATAAAGCTAAGAGATAGCTATCAGGCTCTAAGTTTAAGTCTCAGCGCGCACACGTGCACACACGTGCGCGCACACACACACACACACACACACACTCACACACTCTCTCGGTGGTGCTTTTTTAATACTCAGTTTTAATTTTCTGTGTCTAAACTTCCTTCATATTATAATTATTTTGTTTTCTCTGTCTTTTAGTTGCAGTTTTAAGGTATTTCATAATTTCATCAAACATTGACTCACTGCTGTTTGCTAGACCTGATTGCAGGTTCTCTAGGCATCGTGCAGAAGACATACTGGGCAGACAGGAGATCATATCTATTTAGCATAAACCCATTGCATATTTCTGTATACAAGCAGGATGGTGGTAGTGGGGCAGGGATCTACTTTCCTACTTTGGATAGAATGGTCTTTGAAGACTTCTTTTATCTGGGATGCAAGGATCATGAGAAACAAGAGGAGAGGGAATCAGCCAGAGGAACCCAAAGGCCCTGAGGCTGGAACAAGTTTAGCTTTTCTAGGGTAAGCAGATTTTAATGAGAGTTTCAGGAGTGGCAGAAAAGCATGGGCGACACTATGCCAGAACTTGTCGGCCACATGAGTTGAGATTTTATTGCAAATAGTGTGGGAAGCTATTGGAGGTTTGGGGAAGGTTTTCATTACTTTGAAACAGGAGGCCAGTGCAAAGGCTGTTGCAGTGGTCTTTGGGAGAGACAGTGGTGGCTGAGACACTGGGTTGTGACAGCAAGCTGGAGAAAAGAGGACATTGCAAGTAAATCAGACTCATGGATGACATTATCCATGGGGACTGCGTTCTGAGTTCTCAACAGCTCAGGCACAGATTAACTTCTAGGATACTTTTCTAATTTTGTAGAGTTGTTTGCCTTTTTAAATGGTCTTTATATGAGTGAAATTGTCCTTTTTTTTTGGTCGATCGGGGGGCTTGAACTCTGGGCCTGTGTGCTCTCCCTCAGCTCTTTAGCTCAAGGCTAGTGCTCTACCACTTAAGCCACAGCACCACTTCTGGCCTTTTCTGTTTATGTGATACTGAGGAATAGAATCCATAGCCTCATGCATGCAAGGCAAGCACGCTCCTCTGAACCACCTTCCCAGCCCCATCCTTTCTTTTTGAGATAGGGTCTTGCTATGTAGCTCAAGACCTCAAAAGGGCTTGAAATCAAGAAGTGAGAGCTAGAAGGAGTCAAGGTATTATTGTCCTGCTGTTCTCATTGCTTCTCTCTGTCACATCCTTTTTTCTCTCTGTGCAGACCAGCTTTTCCTGCTCCCCACGTGGTGAAAGTTGGCTTGCAAAGCATCCAAGTGTTTAATATTGTACATGTGAGGTTACTGTGATTTGAGGCTAGAATTTCTTCATCCCAATTCAGAGTTTTAGGTAAAGAGTCATGTCCCAGCTCAAATAGGGCTTCACCTCTGCTCTCCTTAGCTATGACCAGAGATGCGGGACTGTGTTCCAACCATGCCCACCTCCATAGTCAATAGGGGACAGGAAGCAGTTCCCACAGAAAACAGACCTCAAAAAAGATCTTTTGTGTTCTTTAGGCAATTTAGCGCGTTGTTAAAGCAATGTGACATCCTGATAAAAGAATTATCATCCTGATATCCTCAGTGTTTTTCAAGCCCCAGCCCCTGGCTACACAGCCCTCATGAAGGCCACGAGCACAGGTCATGAGCATAACAGCTCTCTCTCTTCCTTAGTGTGAAAGCTGTACTTCTTTTTCCTTTCACCTTGCAGGTGCTGGCAGCCCTTTGTGGCCTTTTTCCATTACTTTTCTCCCAGCCATCCCTGTGTCTCCTTTCCAGCCCCACATTCCCTGTCATAGGGTTGCCTCTAACCTTAGCCTTGGACTGTTCTGGGCAAGGTCTGTGTCTCTCCCAGCCCTCAGGCTTAGAGCACTTTTTCCTCACTCATCCCGTTTTTCTGACTTAGCTAATGAACTTGCCACTTCTTTTTCTGATAATACTGTGGCATCCACTCATGTGCTTAGAAGAGTACCTGGAAAATACTTGGTATGTATCAGCTGCTATCATGACAATCAATTATTAGAATATGCACTTTAAACGTACCATTCCTACCCAGTATAGAGTTTTTTTTTTTTTTTTTGTCGGTCATGGGGCTTGAACTCTGGGCCTGAGCACTGTCCCTCAGCTCTTCAGCTCAAGGCTAGCACTCTACCACTTGAACTACAGCACCTCTTCCTAGAGTTTGTTTTCTATTCTTAGCAACTTCTGATCTCATGTTTCTCTCTCTCTTTCTTTGTCTCTTTCTCTTTTTTCCTTTTGCCAGAACTGGGTCTTGAATTCAAGGCCTTGAACTTGAGCTCAGCTTTAGCTTTTTCCTCAAGGCTGCTACTCTACTACTTGAGCCAAGCCTCCAGTTCTGGCTTTTTGCTGGTTAATTGGAGATAAGAATATCTGACTTAGTCTGCTTGGGCTGGCTTTGAACCTTGATCCTCAGATCTCAGCCTTCTAAATAGCTAGGATTACAGGTGTGAGCCACCAGGTATCCTGAAGCCATTGAATTGTTAAGTCTCAGTGAAAGTAAACACTTAAAATATTTTAAACTGTGTGCAGGTGGTTCATGCTTGCAAACCTAGCTACTTAGTAGGCTAAGATCTGAGGACCACAGTTCAGAACCATCTTGTGCAGGAGATAAGTGGAGCTGTGGCTCAAGTGATAGAGTGCCAGCCTTGAGCACAAAAGCTGAGGGACAGTACCCAGGCCCTGAGTTCAAGCCTCAGGACCAGAACACACACATGTATACAAAAAATTAAATATGTTTGGCCTGGCAATGTAGCTTAGTGGTAGAGTGCTTGCCTAGCATGTATGAAGCCCTGGGTTCAATTTCTCAGAACCACATAAACAGAAAAAAATCAGAAGTGGTGCTGTGGCACAAGTGGTAGAGTGCTAGCCTTGAGCAAAAGAAGCTCAGGGATAGTACCCAGGCCCTGAGTTCAAGCCCCAGGGCTGGAAAAATAAATAAATATGTTTATAAGCAGTTAGATTATAACTACTATCTGTAGTCAGAATGTCCTAGGCTAGGTTCAACCTCCATCATAGTCTGAGGAAGGTAGAATAGGTAAGGAGATAGATGCTTGGATCAGAGGAAGAGGCAGGTGGTTATATTTGAGATGAATCTTGCAGGATGAGTGGGAAGCAAAGGAAAGCAAGGAAGGTGAGGTTGTGAGAGGGAACAGCATGTACCACCTAACTGAAAGACGTAAGGGTAATGATGCTTAATGGCATATGAGGGAGCCAACTGTTGATGAATCCTTTTCCTAAGTCTTTGCACCTTTCTGTACTGTGCTGAATAGGCTGTCCTTGTCTCAGCATGGTATCTTGGTAAACGGTCATAGATAGAAGTCTTGCATTCCCTGTTAAGAGAAAAAGTCTTGAAAGGCTCTTGGTGGTCCAGTGCACTGGGGCATGGCCCAGGCATGGTGAATTGATAGGCAACATGATCATCTTCATTCTTTTTTCTCCCTGCAGCCTGGTGCAAGCAGAATACTGGCATGACCCCATAAAGGAGGACGTGTACCGCAACCATAGCATCTTCTTGGCAGATATAAATCAGGAGAGGGTAAGCATCCAGCCAGGCTCCCAGCATTAGACATTCATTTTTCTCTTTAGAGCATCAGAAATTAGCAATGGCTGCTTACCCAAACTATCCTGGGTAGAACTGGGAACTAGAAATTCTGCGTTTGGGGAGGCAGTGTTTGGGAATTCAGCTCCTTGTAGAGAGGCTGGCATTCATTGGCCTTCCTCTCTGTTTTGTTTTTTTGCTGTCGTGGGGCCTGAACTCTGTGCCTGGGCGCTGTCCTTCAGCTCTTAAGCTCAAGACTAGTGCTCTACCACTTGAGCCACAGAGCCACTTCTGGCTTTTGTTGCTTATGTGGTGCTGAGGAATCGAACCCAGGACTGCATGCATACAAGGCAAGCATTCTACCACTGAGCCACCTTCCCAGCCCTGGCCTTCCTCTTTGAAGTCCTTTCCCTTCTCTTGTGTGGAAGCAGCAGAACAAAGTCAGTAGGTTGCTAGCTGGGTAAAGTAGAAATCCCACAGCAGCTCCTCCTGAGGGAAGCCTTCCTGGAAGGCCTTCTGGACAGATTTTCTCAGAAGAGAGATTTACCTAGAAGAGATATTGCAGTGGGCACTGATGATGCCTCAAAAATGAGCATGGCTTGGGAAGATCCAGGATATTTGATTTATATTAAAGTTATATGGGTTTTGTTTTTCTTTTTGGTCATGGGGCTTGAACTTGGCTTGGACGCTGTCCCTCAGCTCTTCAGCTCAAGGCAGGCATTCTACCACCTGACCACTTGAGCCATAGCGCCACTTTCAGTTTTCTGTCAGGGGTATTTATATGGTAAAGGCTGGGGGGGTCTAAGTTAAAGATAGTTTATTTTTGTTCTAATCACTCCTGGTATTATACTTTCTGAGTTTCTGGATGTTTGGGGCATTTCTTCTAGGTAAGAATGCGTCCTGCCATAAAACAAATGCTTGCCAGGTGCTGGTAGCCCAAGCCTGTAATCCTAGCTACTCAGGAGGCTGGGAACTGAGAATCGTGGTTCAAAGCCAGCCCAGGCAGGAAAGTCTGTTAGACTCTTATCTCCAGTTAAGCACCAGAAAACCTGAAGTGGTGTGGTGTCTTAAGTGGTAGAGTGCTTGCCTTGAGCTGAATTGCTCAGGGACAGTGCCCAGGTCCAGAGTTCAAGCCCCATGACAGACAAAAAAACAAAAAACAGCAACCAAAAAAACACCAGATGCTAGCAGGGTGCCCGTGGCTCACGCTGTAATCCTAGCTACTCAGGAGGCTGAGATCTGAGGATTGTGGTTCAAAGCCAGCCCAGGCAGGAAAGTCTGTGAGACTCCTATCTCCAATAAACCACCAGAAAACCGGAAGTGGCGCTGTGGCTCAAGCGGTAGAGCTGCTCACCTTGAGCTGAAGACCACAGGGACAGTGCTCAAGCCCAGAGTTTAAGTCCTGCAGACCAACTGAACAAACAAAACAAAACAAAACACCAGATGCTTATCCTTGAGATAAAGAAGACTTCCTATTGTCTACATTTTGGGTAGGAGGTTGCTTACAATTTGGAGAAGCACTTCTCAGGAAGGCATACATCCAGCCGTATAAATGTTAATTCTTGGGTGAGAAACACATCTCTCAGGAAGGAATGCATTCTGGTTATTTTGAGCATAGATTGCTCTTCTGTTTTAATACCTCGTTTCTGAATTGCCTCACAGGCCTCATTTTCTTCAACTTATCCTGCGTCATTTTACCCTAAAATTACTTTGGTCCCTTAATCTTAAGGGAAATAGATGAATGAATATCCATATTTGTTCTAAGCTTACCATGCCTCATTCCCTCTAATCTGTCTTGCCTCCATATAACAGAACAACTCAGAAGCTTCAGTTTGTTCTGTTTTCTTCCTCTGGCTAGTTCCCTTGAATCTGTGTGACTTAATGCCTATGGAATGTAGACTGTTAGCCCTGGTTGGTGACATGCCAGTCAAAAGATGGTAAGAAATGGCAGTGTAAGGTATATTCTGGGCAGAAATCTAGAAAAGGAGCATATTATATTCATGGGTCAAGGTAATCAGAACGCTGAAATCCCCCTGCTGGAACCTGATGGTAATGTCACTACTGTCTTTTTCTTCAGTATGTCAATGTATCCTACAAGAAAAATCTGATGGCCCTTAAGAAGTTTGTGATGGTGAAATTCCTCAATGATTCAGTTGTGGACCCTGTAGAGTCTGAGGTGAGATACTACTTAAGCCATAGCATGTCACGAGCCTGTAGGAGAAAATAGTTCTGAAATATAGCTAGCTATCTGCTGGGCAAAAGCCTCCAGTCCTCTCCACCACCCTTTATCTATATCAAGAGTTCTGAGTGAGGTTCATAAATGGGACATAGAATTGGTTATTGTTGGGATCCATCACAACCATCCCAGGGGACTACATGGAGGCAGGCAGGCACTGGAGAAAGATTAGTTAATTTTTGTTGGTTGTGGGGCTTGAACTCTGGGCCTAGACTGTCCCTGAGCTCTTTAGCTCAAGGCGAGCGCTCCACCACTTGAGCCACAGTGCCACTTTCAGTTTTCTGGTGGTTAATTGGAGATTAGAGTCTCACAGACTTTTCTACCTGGGCTGGCTTTGAACTGGGATCCTCAGATCTTAGCTTCCTGAGTAGCTAGGATTATAGGCGTGAGTCACTGGCACCTAGCTAAAAAAAAGATTATTATAAGGTTTATAAGAGGGGCCATATCTCCCTAGGGAGAGGGAGCATATGGCATCTGCCTCTATTCAGGTGGGTAGCTTTGGGGCTAGTGGCATGGTATGTACACAGGTAGGTCTGGGTGGAGAGAGGGAATGGCCAGCCATAAGGTGGGAACTCTAGGGCAGGGAGGAGCTCAGGTCTGGGTAGAGCTGAGGACCAGAGGTAGGGATAATGCTAACAGTTAAAAAACTCCCAATACCAGGGGCTGGGAAGGTGGCTCAGTGGTAGAGCACTTGCCTTGCATGCCAGAGGCCCTGGGTTTGATTCCTCAGTACCACATAAGCAAAAAGAAAAAAGCCGGAAGTGGCGCTGTGGCTCAAGTGGTAGAGCGCTAGCCTTAAGCTGAAGAGCTGAGGGACAGCCGCCCAGGCCCAGAGTTCAGGCCCCATGACTGGACCCAAAAAAAAAAAAAAAAAAAAACCCTCCCAATTCCACTCCAATATCATATGCAAAATTTTATCATTACATTCTGTTGGGGGGAAGAGTCTATCATTTTAATGATTTTCAAAGAAATCTAGGCTTCACTAGCCCATTAATCCTTAAGTTTGGTATTCTAGGCTTTGACCTATCTTTCCAGCTTCATTTACCTAGAGTTCTACATCACTCAATCTTTGATCAAACTGTATTGTAGTACTTGAAATTCCCCAAATTTGCATGTTTTCTCTCATGCCTGAGTTCCTTCATGCTTTTTCTTTAGGATGCCTTTCCTTGGCTTTCCCACCTGAAAAACTCCCATTCTTTTTTTTTTTTGGTCAGTCGTGGGGTTTGAACTCTGGGCCTGGGCACTGTCCCTCAGCTCTTCACCTAAAGGCTAGCATTCTACCACCTGAGCCATAGCACCACTTTTGGTTTGCTGCGTGGTTTATTGGAGATGAGTCTCATGGACTTTCCTGCCTGGGCTGGCTTTGAACCATGATCCTCAGATCTCAGCCTCCTGAGTAGCCAGGATTAAAGGCATAAGCCACCAGGGCCCAGCAAAATTCCCATTCTTATGACAAGGCCATATGCAAATGCTACTTCCTATAGGACACTATCCCTCTTCCAGGCACAGTTTGCTTTCTAGTCATTAGTATCTACTAAAGTTCTGCTCACATTTACAGACCACCAGGTGTTGTCAGGTGTAGACTAGATCTTGCTGGCCACATTTTCTTTTTTTGGTCCAAGACCAAGTCTAACTTGGTACCTGATGCTTTCATTCATTGGCTGGTGCTCTACCAACCAAGCCATGCCTCCAACTCCACCAAAGACATTATTGAATGGTTTGAGAGCTAAGAATTTTACATGTTTAAATAATTGGGGAAAATTCCAAGGCTATTTTATGATACAAGTTAGAATTTGTTTGTGGTTGAAATTTCATTGAGACAGTCATACCTATCTTTCATATATTTCTAAGAAATGAGAGGCAAGCGACCAATATGGGCTCAAGGCTTTATTGGGACAGACCTGCTGGGCTACTCCAGGCAGGAATGGAGGTAGCAGCAGTGGACAGGTGCAGGTGGAATTTCACATGGGTCATATTACATGGACTTTGGGAATTTGGGGGTAGAGTCAAGTTTTGAGAAGAAGTGTTATGAAGGTGTTATGTGATCTACAGGAATTGGGGGGAGAGTTACATTCCTAAAAGGAGTATGATGGTACTTTTGGAGCTGGGACAGAAATTTGTACATCACACCAGGAAAACAATACAGCATTGGGGAAATAGAAACTGATTTTTGTAAACAGGTAGGGACACAGGGAGGGGATGTAATTGCAAGCTGAGTCTGAGGCCTGAGAATATTGTGTCTGGCTACTTTTGTGTTACAGTGGAAGCAGTGAGTAGTTACAGCCATATGGCCATAAAGCCTAACCTATTTTGGGTCTGGCCTTTTGAGAAAAATAGCTTGCTGACCCCATGCTAGACTGTGAATGGTTCTGTGACTTGCTAGATGGACTTGCTAGATGGGAGCTTCTTGGGAATCTCGTAGAAACAAGGATCATAATCACCCTAGAATGGCTACAGAGTTTATTACAAGGATTTTTAGGGTTGGTATAATAAAAGCAGCAGAAATTTTTGGTAAATGGTAAACTCTTTAGAAAGACCAACTCATTCCTAAGGAATGACTTTTAAAATGAAGTGACTTGAAATATACCCCTATTTTTCCTTCTTGCTTTGTGTTTGTGTGTGTGGGAGGGGGGGGGTGAGTGGAGAGAGAGAGGGAGGGAAGGGGAGAGACAGAGAGAAAGGAGAATGAACATGTGCATGACTTAGGGCCTGACTGCTTTCCCTGAGCTTTTGTACTCAAGGCTAGCATTTTCCCACTTGAGCCACAGCTCCACTTCCAGCTTTTATATGGTCTGTTGGAGATAGACATTCTCTCCTAGCCTCCTGAGTACCTAGGATTACAGGTGGTAAGCACTGGTGCCGAGCTGTCTATACGTTTATGACAACTTGTTGGTGATCTTAGAAGGTAGTCAGTCTCAAATTGTGTGCTAGATATCTTTAATATTTTCTTCTTTTCCTCCAGTGGTTTGGATTTTACAGAAGTGGCCAAGCCAAGGAAATCATTCCTCTACAGAAGACGGCTCTGTACACACAGGTAACTGACAGGCTGAGAGGTTGGTGCTGTTTGTCAGCTGCTGGTTTCTAAAGGTGCTCAGTTTAGCTGCTAGGCTCTATGGTGTTAGAGCTCTGCTTCATAGGCCCCACAATACTAGATGCCTAGGAGCCATCTAACTCAATGAAGTCTGGTGCAAATGAGACTTGTTAGACTGTTCCTTCTAACACTTATTTCTTAGGCACGGGTTTACAGACTTGTGTCTTTGACTAGAGATGTGGCTCAAGTATTAAGAGTGCCAGCTGAGCAAAACTGTGTTCAAGCACTAGTACTGACACACACAACAAAAGTAAACTGATTCACTTTCTGTGGATTGGGTGTTTTCTCTTAAAACATTAGCTAATTTTCCCTTGTCTTTTGACTTTGTCTCACTTTGCTGTTTCAAGGCAGATTTATCTATAGCTTGTCCAATGTATAGGTAGTCCACCACCTCTGGGAAACTTTGCAGAAAGCTGAATATAAGCACTGGGAGGAGGATTTGTGAGGCCCTAGGTTCAATTTCCAGCACCACAGTGGGAGCAATATAACCATACAGGAGTGTAAACTGCGCATATGTTTAACTCTTAGATACACTGGCATTTTCAACATTGCACTTCTATTTTTTTTTTTGGGGGGGGGGGGGTCCGGTCGTGGGGCTTGAACTCTGGGCCTGGGCGCTGTCCCTCAGCTCTTTAGCTCAAGGCTAGCGCTCTACCACTTGAGCCACAGTGCCACTTCCGGCTTTTTTCTTATGTGGTGCTGAGGAATCGAACCCAGGGCCTTAGGCATGCAAGACAAGCACTCTACCACTGAGCCACCTTCCCAGCCCTTCTATTTCATTTTTTAAAAGGGAGGAATTGCATTTTAACGATGTATCTCATTAATATTTTATTACTTTACTGTTTTACCCAAAAACCTTCCATTAAGCCTCAAGTAATTATAGTCTTTCTCTCTGCAGGACCTTCTGGGGCTAAAGCAAATGGACAAAGCAGGACGGCTAGTGTTTCTGGCTGTAGAAGGGGACCATCTTCAATTCTCTGAAGAATGGTTTAATGTCAACATCATCCCCTTTCTTAAATGAAGCACTTGCAGTTTACAACAGAGCTTGGGAACCCCTAGCTCTTCCAAACGAAGTAGAAGATAGTTTTCTTCATGCCGGACCGAGCTATGATCCAATATGCAACTAATCCTTCTCTCCTGTTATCATCTAACATGCCCTACTTGGAAAGATCTAAGATCTGAATCTTATCCTTTGCTGCCTCCTATCACCATATGGTGTTGAATTCAAGTTTAATTAGCTAATAACCAGGAGATTGTTTTACAACCTTGTGATGTGGTCAAACTCAAGTCTTAGGAAATGTCCAGGCCCAGAGGAGACTGATCTAAAGCAGCAAATAGATTGAGGACCATACCTAGTCACATTTCAAGCAAACCTATGTCAAGCAAATCTAGGCTTAAGGCACTCACATAAATTCTGTGTTGCTGGTGCAAATAGTTTGAGAAAATACTGCTTGGAGGGTGTTTTTGCATCATTTCTTAAGGTTGCTTTCCTCTCTGACTATATTACCTTCTTGTGGAACTTTAGCAATTATTAGATTGCACCAGCCTACTATCTTGCCTCTGTAGAATTCCTTGTCTCCTCTGGTGATGAATTAATTTGTCCTTTTCTGTCACAAAATGAGGGAAGTAGCACCACACTAGGTTGCTCACGAAAGGTACATCTTGGATAACTTAGGGCAGTGGGGATGGGGAGAATAATGGGAGTAGAAGTAAAAATGAGGCAACTAGCTCTTTCCACTTAATACAGCAAGTGGCTTGGATGCCAATCACTCCACTGCTGGCTTTAGAAGAAATGTAAGGAAGAATGTGAAGAAATTGGGCTTAACTTCTAGCCCCCCAGAATCTTTTTTTTCTGGTTGGTCATGGGTCTTGAACTCTGAGCCTGAGTGCTGTCCCTCAACTCTTCAGCTCAGGCTAGTGCTCTCACTGAGCCACAATGCCATTTCCAGTTTTCTGGTGGTTAATTGGAGATAGGAGACCTACCAATTTTCCTGCCTGGGCTGGCTTTGAACCATGATCCTTAGATCTCAGCCTCCTGAGTAGCTAGGATCGCAGGCGTGAGTCACCGGTGCCCGGCCCCCCAGAATCTTAATTACGTGTACACTGAACTCCTGTTTATACATTCTGTAAGATTGCTTAAAAAGAAAATTGAGTACATTGTCTACTTTCCTCCTCCTGGAGATCACTCTAATCCACATTAGACTAAGGACTTTAAGCATTCTTCATAGTAAAGAAAATTAACTCAATCTGCAATTTCATGTTTTTGGGTTTTGGAATGGAGGACTGAACTCAGGATCTCGCACTTGCTAGGCAAACACTACCATTTCATCTGCCAGCAGACCTTTTGTTTTTGAGACAGGGATCTGACTACCAGGGCAGGCTACAAACATGTAATCATCCTTCCCTTGCTTCCAAGTAGCTAAGATTATAATTTTATGGCACCATGCCTGACCCTGTTTCTTACATTATTTGAGCATGGAAGTACCTTGTTAGTGTTACAGTTTACCCTTTATCATTTTTCCTTTTCCTCTTTCAAGCCTTATTCTTCAGCTAAAAGATAAGGCTTATGGGCAACAAATAGAGTGTGTGAAAATAATTTTATGAGGCTGAAAATAAAGAGTACTTTCTGATTTTTAGTGTTATTTTCTTTTCAGTAGCTCCACATGTCTGTACAGTAAATATCGTAAGTAATAAGCAAGTTTGGTATTAACTTTATTCTATTTTCTGTATAACTTTAAGTACATAAAGGTTTATTTCCACAGGCCTTAGGAAATGGGTAGAAGTCACAGGACAATCTCTCTTCCCACCAAAAAAAAAAAAAAAATTTGCATATTTTCATAAGTGTTCAAGAGGGGAAAACTGAAATTTACACTTGCAGTGCTGTGCAAGATTCTTACATAAATCAACACCTAAACCAGCCTGCAGTGGAGGTTTTTAGTCCTCTGTTCGGGTGCCTAGACCAAAGCCCTAAACTGTTGAGCATAATCGGCAGCCACAAGGACAGATGGCAGGCATCTAGCAGGAAGGGAGAAACGTGATTCTTGGAATGGCATGTTTTGTTATTCTAGTTTCCTGCTGGTTCTGGGGGCTTCAACTCAGGGCCAGGGTGCTGTGCCTGAACTTTTTGCTCAAGGCTAGCATTCTACCACTTGAGCTAGAGTTCCACTTCCAGCTTTTTTAAGGGTAGTTTATTAGAGATAAAAGAGTCTTTTGGATTTCCTGCCCAGGCTAACATCTAACCGTGATCCTCAGATCCCAGCCTCCTGAGTAGCTAGGATTACAGTTGTGAACCACCAGCACCCAGAGTCATTTTTCTTCTTAAAAATCACCTCTGTAGGAAGGTGGTGGGCAGGGATATCACAGGAAACAAAGGGCACAAGACCCAGGGAAGTATGACTGCAGTTGGGACCCAAGAACCTAGTGTGTCCTGGTTGATGTGGACTCAGGATGGAATGCAAAATATTGGAATGCTGCTAGGAGACAAGTCTGCTTGGAAGGAATGCTAGATGGGCAAGCCTCAGCTTTTGGTCCAGGAAACCCTCCCCTCACTTGTCAACTTGAAGTCAGTATGATTGGAAGAACCACCAGAAATCACACCAGCTTCTGCTATCTCCATATTCACTGTTAGAAAAAGATTCACTAGTGTGCACATTCTGTATTAATTCCTGGGACTGCTGTTCTTCCCAAAGGATGAGTTTGTTGGTAGAATAACCCTTTCCCTAAAAAGCTGAGAGCTGAAACACCCCAGAGTCCAGGTGTGCAGTCCCTTAAGACCAGAATGGTGGTATGGCCGCGCTGATGTGGAGAAGCTGTACCTTCCTGCAGAAGATCAACTGCCCTGCTGTCCCACCCCAAATCTCAGCCTGAGGTATATTCAGTGAAGGCAGGTAGCTGGGCTTCTCAGAGCAGAGAAGCAGTTAAGAGCAGAAAGGTAGAGGAAATCTAGAAAAGAATCGTCTTGATACAGATTTATCCCATGGTGTGAAGGGAGAGGGCAAAGAACCCACTGGCACTTGGCTTATCCAGCAATTTCTGTCACTGTGGTGACCAATTTTTGCCCATTCCATAAGGTCTTGAACTGCTCAGGGACTGGGAATTCATTCTGTAAAGAGAGAATAGGATGAAATCTGGGCTACAGAATGTACTAGCTCTACATTTCACACTTCCACTTAGTACTAAGAGCATAGTAGGTTGAAGCAATACAAACAACCCACTCCATCCTGCTGTTGTACTAGTAGGTTGAAGCAATACAAACAACCCACTCCATCCTGCTGTTGTACTGTTCTCTATTAAGTGATTTCAGATAAGACTGTTAGAAGAATACACATGGCTTTAGAATACCAGTTTAACAGAGTGCTAGGACTCTCCTTTGCTATCCTGAGCTCAACCTAAGAAGCCCTTTAGCACATCACAAGACTGGATTACTTTGCTTTTTTTCTGTGTGCTGCTGCTTTTTTGGTGTGGAGTTTTAGGTTTACCTACTCATTGCAAACTGCCCATTGTAAGATGCTTCTATGTAGCTCAGGCTTGTTTTAAACTTCAAATCCTACTGCCTTTGCCTTCCAAATATTAGGATTACAGGCACTTGTCTAGCTAATCCCTTGTTTTTAACAAAAGAAACAACTTACAAAGTCTCCGCCTTCTGTAGGAATGAGAACATTCATCTCAGAAGATTTGGCACTGACTATCTCACAATCCAGAGAACTCTTGCTCAGGTAAGCATGGCAGCCATCTGTTTTGTTAATGGAAATGGTTGGCACTTTACCCATTACCTGCAGAGAAAAACCAAAAGAACTAAGTAAGTCCCAGCAGGTGGGAGAAGATACATGAGTAAGTTGCTGGAGACTCCAGCTTTCATTGTTTCACAAAATCCTATAACTACATGAGAACCTCCAGATGTACAACAGACATTAGATCCCAGGGGCAGGCTGAGATCAGTGTTGGAAGAGCCTCCTTGAAGAGCCAGCAGCTTTTCTGCCACAAAGTAGCCTAGCTCCTAAGATCAGATTGCTACTAAGCAACATCTGTGGGTCTACTGTAACTCTTTCAATGAAATCCTCAGGGACCAAAGAAGGGGCCAAGATATAAAGTTACCTGAACTTTGACATCTCTACTATTGATTATCTCCACAATGCCCACCACATCATCGAATACCAGACCAAGTTTCTTACAGTTATCTAGAAAAAAAGTAAGCAAATTGACAGCATAACTTTAAAATAATATATATACTTAAGAAATCTTTAGGAAGAGAGAGGATAGGCAAAATGGTTCCAGCCCTTTCAGGCTCTTGAACAGAACCTGCCTAAGACAGTGATAAAAACTCACCTACTGTAATGGAGTTAATCTTGCCCTTGATTTGCAATGTTGTGTTGACACACTTGTATATGTAAACCACCTGCTTCAGCTCTGTGTCATCAATTACCAGGTTGGAAACATTCTCCTGATTTTCCTGTTAAAGAGATGAACCCTTACCATGAAGAACACGAAGACAAAAGTTATCCCAAACCTTTATTTTGGCACTGTGAACCACAGCTCTGCGCTCATTTGGTTGAGCTCTCTTTGATCCCTTGTCCCCACCCTCACTCCAGGTATTTTCAACTCACCACTCTCCATTTCTTGCCCTCCAATTCAAGGAGAGCTGGCTCCTTCTTTGTGGCTGGTTTGGGAGATGGGCTGGTTTGGGGTTTAGGTGCAGAGAATGGTTTGGGACCACTGCGTACTGGGCCACTCTGAGCTTTCAGGGCAGGGTTCTTGTGAGTCTTCATATCATCAGATACATGCTTCAGGGCTGTAAGAACAACAACTACCTTGCTCCTGTCCTTCATACAAAAGCTTTAGGCTGAGGCAACAACCAGCTCCTGTAAGCACTGATCCTCAGCAGAAAATTCAAACCAAGAACACAAGCAAGCAGTTTTGGATACTTTATCATTTCACTTGTTCCCTTAGGTTAAATTATATAGCTCTATTTAAAAAAAAAATGCGTACACTGGAGATAGAAGGGTAATGCACAGAAAAAGATCTAAAAAGATATATACCAAATATGTACTCACAAAATCTGTATGCAGTTTTTAAAGTAATCAAGGAAGAAAAATACATGGTAAGTAATGAAAATTTGGGAGAAGTAGCTTCACCTACAATTAACCCTCCTTCCCTTTCCCAAGTACTGACATTTGAAAATCTGTACGTTTTCCCCCTAGTAACTAGGATAATGAAATTTTTAAATTTATTTTTATTTTTGGGTCCAGTCCTGAGGCTTGAGGCTTGAACTCAAGACCTGGGCACTGTTCCTAAGCATTTTTGCTCAGGGCTAGCTAGCACTCTACCACCTGGGCAGCAGCTCTACTTCTGACTATTTGGTGGTTAATGGAAGTCTTTAGAGTCTTATGGACTTTCCTGCCCCAGCTGGCTTAGAACCATGATCCTCATACCTCAGCCTTCTGAGTAGCTAGGATTATAGGTGAGTGTCACCAGTGCCCAACTAGTTTGGAAAAAAAAAAACAAACCAAAACTGGCTTACATTAGTTATACAGGGGGGATTTCAATGTTACATCTCCATATCCTGTATTTCTATTCAGTGTGTGCGCGCGTGCGTGTGTGTGTGTGTGTAGACACACAACAAATTTGGCTCAACCAATTATCAATTAAACTACTTCATGTTTTCCAACAATTTATAACTATGTTCTTTTTTTTCCTTTGTCCAAGCTCAGAACTCTATCTGACGCTTGCTTTCACTCAGTGGATGACGCTCTACAACCTGAGCCACACCTCCAACACTCCCCCCCCCCCCTTTTTTTTTTTGCCAGTCCTGGGTCTTGAATTCAGTGCCTGAGCACTGTCCCTGAGTTTCTTTTGCTCAAGGCTAGCACTCTACTCCTTAAGCTACCGTACTTCTGGATTTTTCTATTTATGTGATACTGAGGAATCAAACTCAGGGCTTCATGCATGCTAGGCAAGCACTCTACCACTAAGCCACATTCCCAGCCCTCTTTAGCAGACTGGCACAATCTATGTTGACCTATTTTTTTTCTTTTTTGTGCTGGCCCTGGGGCTGGAACTCAAGGCCTAGATGTTGAGCACATTGACCTGTCTCCCCCCCTCCCCCCCCCTTCTAATGTATGTGTGCTAGTACTGGGGCTTAAATTTAGGACCCTGAACTCTCATTCAGCTTTTTTGTTCAAGACTGATGCTCTATCACTTGAGCCACACCTCCACTTCTGGCTTTTTGCTTATGAATTGGAGAAACCAGGGATTATCTGCCCAGGCTGGCTTTGATGATCATCAGATTTCAGCCTTTTTGGTAGCTAGCATGAGCCACCAGAGCCCAGATATATGTTGTCTATTGGTACCGAATCACCTTTACACACTAATGGAGGGACAAAGGGTGAACAAGTGCAACAGAAGTACTCACAGATCACCATGTTGAAAATGCACTAACTTTTGGGTGAGGATGAGAGGGAAAAACTCAGAGAGAGTGAGGGAAGAGTTGACATTGTCCAAAAAGAAATGTACTCTTTACCTGACTGATGTAATTTTAACTCTTTTGGGTTTTTTTTTTTTTTTTTTTTAAAGGTCCAGTTGTGGGGCCTGAACTCTGGGCCTGAGCGCTGTCCCTCAGCTCTTCAGCTCAAGGCTAGCGCTCTACCACTTGAGCCACAACGCCACTTCCGGCTTTTTCTTATGTGGTGCTGAGGAATCGAACCCAGGGCCTCAGGCATGCAAGGCAAGCACTCTACCACTGAGCCACCTTCTCAGCCCCCCATTTTAATCCAGGTTCAATCTCCCTTCTGATAACTAACTTTAAGGCAAATGACACCTCAAATAAATCTTCCCATGTGCCCACCAGAATTCTGGTTCTTAGAATAGCTGTTGTGTCTGAATGGTGAGGTCTAGTCCAAACAATTTGCTGAACCAACTGTTCATATCACAGTACTTACCATGTGTGATGCTCTCCCCCTGATTAATCTGCGCAAACAGTGCTGAGCGGGAGGCAGAGTCATCAGAGCTTGAACTGGTAGGAACTGGTGGGGGAGGTGGGCCTGGTGGAGGGGGAGGGGGACCTGATCCAACAGAGGGTCCAGATGGCAATCCACTCAGTTCTTTTGCCACGGGCCCCTGGAACAACAAGTTTAAGTAAAACAGTTACCGTCTCCACCCCTCTATCATTCCCAGTGGGATGTCCAACATACATGAAGTCCCTCCATAGCTCTTGAGGTAATGATTAATGCTCCCTCACCAAACCCAACATGGCTTTAATTCCTTCTCATTCTCTTTCAAGGATCCAACTCATACCTTCACATTTTCCTTCTTCTCATTGTAGATCTAAACTCCTATTTCTAAACATCTACTTTTCATCATCCTTGGTGTGTTACAAGGGCCTCAGAATCAACAAGTTAAGTTGATTTCATCATCTCTTGCCCACTCCTCATCTTGTAACAATTTTACCATCCAAATTTGACTACTTAATCTTCTTTAAAGCTTCCCACTTCCTTGGCCTTCTGGAATCTATTATCTTGGTGTAAGTGCTTTTCTATCAGCCCCTAGTATCATGACAATGGTCATGGTCTGAGCATGAGAACTTATTCTGAACCTATGCATACAGACAGATCTGGCCATTACAATATCCTTAACTAAAAGACTTAGTCTAAAAATCTCAGCAGATCTTCCTTCCAGAATTTTCTCCTAAAAATCTGACCACTTCCCCTTATTGAAGCCATTGAAGGGCACTATCTACATTTACACTGCATGTACTTTGTTAGGGCTGTTCTTGTTCTTAACATCTCATTTCTCCCATGTCTCATCATCCTGTACTCATCTCTCTCATCATCCGTTCAAGCCGGTCCAGTTCAGAGTATACCTTTCCAAAGTATAAACTCTTCCCATGACACTCACTCTTGAAGGAATGTCTTTTTTTTTTTTTGGTTAGTCATGGAGTTTGAACTCAGAGTCTGGGCACTGTCCCTGAGCTGTTTTGTTCAAGGGTAGCGCTCTACCACTTGAGCCATAGTAGTGTTGTGGCTCATGTGGTAGAGTGCTAGTCTTGAGCAAAAGAAGCTCAGAGATAGTGCTCAGGGCTTGAGTTCAAGACCCAGGACTGGCAAAAATCTCAGACTTTCCAGCCTGGGCTGGTTTTGAACCTTGATTCTCAGATGTCAGCCTCCTGAGTAGCTTAGGATTACAGACATGAGCCAATGGCACCTGGCAACAGGGGAGTATATCTTTATTATAGCATTCAGCTTGGTGATTTGTACTGGGAATTTGTATCTGTATTTTCGAGAACTAGTGTAGTGTGATTCATCTATGTGTCTTCCCTCCATCAATCCTTGACCTTTGTTTTTGATTTTTGTCCCAGTACTGGAGCTCAAACTAAGGATCTTAAGCTCTTGTTTAACTTTTTCACTGAAGACTGACACTCTACCATTTGAGCCATGCCTCATCTACTTCCAGACTTTTGTTGGTTAACTGGAGATCAAGAGTCTTACAGACTTTCCTGCCTGGGCTGGCTTTGAACTACAATCCTCAGATCTTAGCCTCCTGAGTAGTTAAGATTACAAGCACTTAGCTCATAACTTTTATTTTTAAAAATTGAATATAACTCAAGTCTCTGACCCTAGGTTTCTGTATTCTCTTCTCTTTTTCCCTTTTACTTCTAACCTACTAATAAATAACTAGCATTCTTTTTCAGGCCTTGGTGATTGTGAAGTCTAAGAAACTTGTGGATAATTTTTTGGAGAGATAAAGAGAGAAACGAAAGACTCACTAACCGTTTTGTTCCAGGCCAATCCAGTGGTATGGAACTCCTTGATATATGCCTGCAGCTCCGTCCATATACTCAAGTAGGCTTTGACCCAGTCCACATGTTTCTTATCCCTGAGAAGATTAAACAACTTGTTAAGAGGCAGTCAGGCTACATTATAGTAATATTTGCAGAACCTGTCTTGTTTGTGGACTCAGATCTCCCTGCTGATGGCATTTCTTAGGCTCTGCTCAATAGCAGTTGTTCTATTATCACTGGACTTCAAACAAAACAACAACAACAAAATCTATTATTCTAATTAGACCAAACTTTTTTAGGACAGGAAAACTGAATTATATCTCCTTATATCTCATATCATCAGTGTTTCCCAAGCTTTTTTGGTGGTATCTAGATTACACTCTGGGCCTGGCTAGCCAGTGGTCTACCACTTCAGCCACATTTCTAGCCCTTTTTACTTACTTTATTTTTCAGATGGGGGTCTCACTTTTTACCCAGGGCCAGTCTTGCACCTTGATTATCCTACCTACCATCACCTATACATCTGGGATTACAGATACCTATCAACAGACTTGGCTTATCTGTTGAGAAGGGTCATATGGTAACTTTTACCCAGGCTTCTGGGAGCCATGATCCTTCCCATCTCTACCTCCTCAGTAGCTGGGATTACAGGGCATGGTCTACCATGCACAGCTCTTACTATTTTAAGAGTAAAACTTAAAACATTTATCTTAAATTTTATATATTTATATATAAACAAGCTTTATGTATAGAGCTGATAAAAGAAGACATTTTGTGTGTGAAGTCATGTATTACCTGGAACTCAAAGACTTCAAGAAACTCAACTACTTTATGAGCCAGTTCCTATGTCAGAACATGTCCCCCCACGAAATTTTAAATAAATTCATTAAGAGGAAATAATAAGCATTAAATTACAAAATAACACTGCACTATGACTCAGAATAATCCCCTCTCTTCCTACATGTTAACTTTGAAGACCTACTTTCTTCAACTGTAATGAAAGGGTAAATTCAAAACACTTAAAGAGTGTTTAATTAGGGCTGGGAAGGTGGCTCAGTGGTAGAGCCCTTGCCTTGCATGCCTGAGGCCCTGGGTTCGATTCCTCAGCACCATATAAGCAAAAAGAAAAAAGCCAGAAGTGGTGCTGTGGCTCAAGTGGTAGAGCCCCCCCCCCCCCCAAAAAAAAGTGTTTGATTGCTTGAAGGATCAAAGAATGTAGTATCTAGGACACTTTTCACACAAAAGAAGAGAGTAGGTCCTCTTGGAGAGTAATTACTCAACAAATGACCAGAAGGAAGGGTTTGGATAACTATGCAACTAAGTAATTGCCACCTACAGTCATATCCAGTTCAAAACTAGCACACAGAAATAGAAATCAGAAAGGAATAATGTACACATGCACTTAGAAAGCAATGACTGCCGGGCACTGGTGGCTCACGCCTGTAATCCTAGCTACTCAGGAGGCTGAGATCTGAGGATCGCGGTTCAAAGCCAGCCCGGGCAGGAGAGACCGTGAGACTCCTATCTCCAATAAACCACCAGAAAACCAGAAGTGGCGCTGTAGCTCAAGTGGTAGAGCGCTCGCCTTGAGCTGAAGAGCTGAGGGACAGCGCCCAGGCCCAGAGTTCAAGCCCCACGACCAACAAAAAAAAAAAAAAAAAAAGAAAGCAATGACTTCCTTTTTTACTTGCATAGGCTCGCTCTACCTGACTGTAGGAAGAGTCAGGGTCATTTTCTAGTGAAGCCTACTGAATTCCTGCCATGGTACCAATAAGACATTTTTAACAGGAACAGGGAATTAAAAGGCATTAATCCATGTTACCTTCAGCAAAACCTCCTAAACCTGGAAGGATAAGAACTTAAAATATTAAAAGGGCCTCTACCAACCCATAGATAAATAAGAAGTGGGTGCTTGCAAATGTAGGCTCTATGAGCCAGCTTTCCACAAAGCAGTCTGAGATGAAGGAATCAACTCAGAAGCCAAGCACTGCCTTAATTAACCCCAAGTGCTATTCCAAGAAGTAACAAGCTGGTCCTTTACCCACCAGGAAAGGCAAGACACAAGACTTACACATCTTTGTATTCTTTGAGGACTCGGTTTGTATAAAACATTGCAGCATCATTCATTTCTTTCACATAGGGGGCAGGTTTGGGAGCCTGGAAAAGAAAGAAACTGACTCAGCCTCTCCAGTCGTATATCTATATCTATACCTATATCTATACCTATACCTCTATCTATCTATCTATCTATCTATCTTTTGTCAAGTCGTGGGGCTTGAATTCAGGGCTTGGGCGCTGTCCCTGAGCTCTTTCACTCAAGGCTAGTACTCTACCACTTTGAGCCATAGCACCACTTCCAGTTTTCTGGTGGTTAACTAGAGATAAAAATCTCAAAGAGGGGCTGGGAAGGTGGCTCAGTGGTAGAGCGCTTGCCTTGCATGCATGAGGCCCTAGGTTTGATTCCTCAGCACCACATAAGAAAAAAGCCGGAAGTGGCGCTGTGGCTCAAGTGGTAGAGTGCTAGCATTGAGCTGAAGAGCTGAGGGACAGCGCCCAGGCCCAGAGTTCAGGCCCCACGACCAGACCCAAAAAGAAAAAAAGAAAAAAAGAAATCTCAAAGACACTGGGTACTGATGGCTCACGCCTGTAATCCTACTCAGGAGGCTGAGATCTGAGCATCACAGTTCAAAGCCAGCCCGGGCAGGAAAGACGGTGAGACTCTTGTCTCCAATAAGCCACCAGAAAACTGGAAGTGGCACTGTAGCTTAAGTGGTAGAGCTCTCGCCTTGAGCTGAAGAGTTGAGGGACAGCGCCCAAGCCCAGAGTTCAAGTCCCATGACCAACCAAAAAACAAAAAAGAATCTCAAAGACTTTTCTGCCTTGGCTGGATTTGAGTCTGATCCTCAAATCTCAGCCTCCTGAGTAGCTAGGATTACAGGCCTGAGCCACGGGTGCCCAGCTAGCCATACATGCATCTTTCTTTCCTTCTTTCCCTCTCCATCCCTGCTCTCCCTGAAAGATGCAATGCTTACCATAGCCACCCAGCCCAGGGCCTGGATGCTCTCGCTGACAGCTGACAGGTGATTGAACAACTTGCTGCCTCGGTTCTTCTCCCGAAAGGTTATCACTTCTTGGATCTGCTCTGAAATGGGTGCCAACAAATCCGTAAGCTTATTCTGGGAAAAGAGGTAAGAGGAGATTCTGGTTAGAGTCCTATAAAAGCTATATATGAGTTGAGCATGGTAGCACATGCCTGTATCCCAGAGCTTGGGAGATAGAGGCAACCTGGGCTACATAGTGAGATGTATCTCAAAATAACCCTACATGGGGCTGGGAAGGTGGCTCAGTGGTAGAGTGCTTGCCTTGCATGCCTGAGGCCCTGGGTTCGATTCCTCAGCACCACATAAGCAAAAAGAAAAAAGCCAGAAGTGGTGCTGTGGCTCAAGTGGTAGAGCACTAGCCTTGAGCTGAAGAGCTGAGGGACAGCGCCCAGGCCCAGAGTTCAGGCCCCATGACCGGACCCAAAACAAACAAACAAAAACACAAAATAAACAAAACAAACAAACAAAAACCCTACACACAAACACACACAGATAAAAATAAATAAATAAAAATAAAAAGACAAGAAAAGACAGAGGCTAACCAGGCACTGGTGGCTCACACCTATAATACTAGCTTCTCAGATAACTGTGATCTGAGGATCACAATTTGAAGCCAGCTCATCAGGAAAGTCTGAGAGGCTCTGCTCTCCAATGAGGTATGACTCAAGTGGTAAACTCTAGCCTTGAGCAAAAATTCTATCCCTGTTCAAGTGCCACTACTAGGGAAATAGAGAAGGAGGGAGGAGAGAGGGAAGAAGGAAGGAAAGAAGTAAGGAGAAAGAAAAAAAAAGAGAAAGAGAAAGAGAAGACAAAGGCTATATGTTAGTCAACTCTTATTCTGAAATTAAGAATTATGTATGGAAGAAAATAAGCATAGAAAGAAATCTTGAATTTATCCTGCAAATTACTGCTCATCTTCTCACCTCTATATAAAGTTCCAATTCCTTCAACTGATTTTTGTGGTTCCCCATGGTTAAGACCCATACGTCAGTTACACCACAAAATTCCACAATTTGAGCCACTTGTCTGGTTTCTGTCCCCCTAACAGGAAATACTAGTCTATTTCTGTACCTTTACTTCATATACTCCTTTTTGTAAATATTATAGGAAACTGGTATGACTGGCCCTCCAACCCCAGCCATACCAGTTTCCTATAACATTTACTGTCAGCATAACCAATTCTGGCACTTTATCAGGCAGCAGTACAAGCTATTAATGGACCCACATGAATGTTTTTTCTTTCTCATTAATTTTTCAAAGGCAAGGGCTTTGTCTTGCCTCTCCTTTGTCATCATTATAAGCGCTCAATGCATTGTTAGCCATATAGCAGCTGCTGAGTAGAGATCTGATTAATCAAATGCAATTATCAAGGCTGGCACTAAAGCAAGCAGCTCAGCAAAATGAATAAATCTTGTGTCTCTGTGTTTTTGATCCTTCCTTCAAAGCTTAGTTTTCTGACCATTTCAGTTCTCAGGCCTTAGCATGAAAAAATCTAGCCAGGAATATGCCAACCTTTCTTCTTAAGTAAATGTTTGCTCCAGAAAAACTTAATTTACATAAATGGGTTGCAAACCAGATTTGGCTTGCAGGCTATGGTTTGCCAAGCTCTGGTCTAATACAAGGGAAAGGCAATAATGTCTCAGCAGCTTGAATTATGGGGAAAGAGGAGGTTTGGGGGAGGAAAAAGATTTAGATAAAACACCCTAATAATTCTGGACAAACTAAAGATCAAACACTGATGTATTTAAATTATATTACATTATTTGGGCATGCCAAGAATCAAGGGCTTTAATGCAGAATTAGCAAGAAAAAATTTTTATTATTCCTTTATGACTAAGAAAGCCTAATATTAGCATAAGAAATAAATCTTTCTTTTTATTTTTTTTGGGTCCGGTCATGGGGCCTGAACTCTGGGCCTGGGCGCTGTCCCTCAGCTCTTCAGCTCAATGCTAGCGTTCTACCACTTGAGCCACAGCACCACTTCCGGCTTTTTTCTTATGTGGTGCTGAGGAATCGAACCTAGGGCCTCATGCATGCAAGGCAAGCGCTCTACCACTGAGCCAACTTCCCATCCCCAAGAAACAAATCTTTTATTGTGAAAAAAAATCTAAATTTTCTATAATCCAACTTTTCATACCTTGCTGCAAAAAAATGTTTAATTAGTTAAAGGGAGGGGAGTTAAAAGTTGAGGGAAGATTCCATTCTTTAGGCATTTTAAGATTTCTATAGCTGTTTGTTGCAGGAAGGAGCAAAGTCCCAATGGTAACTAAGGATCTAAGCTAAATGACAGAGGGGAAAAAAGGCTACTGGAGACCAATCAACACTCAAAGCACATTCATTCCCATGAGGACACTGTAAGTCTCCTCTAACCCTGAGACTTGGCATAAATGTACATAATCATGAGCCTGTTCCATTTTAATATGTTGTGACAGTTTGGTGGAAGTTTCTCAGCTTATTGCTGTCACCAGACCAAAACTACACCATCTATCAGTCAACTTACATTGGCTGGCTGCTGGCACTGAGAAGCTGTAACTAGGAGAGCTCGTTCCAACTTCAGACCTGTATGGACCATCTCCGCCTGAGAGAAAAAAGCAGAATCAGCTATCAATGACACATTACAACTGGAGAGGTCCTGATAAGAATAACTTGAAACCTCCATGTACTCTGGTAGCACCCAGGCACTTGTGTTTTTCTGATGGAATTAAGATTCCAGGGACTGATACCATAATCACATATACTATTGTTCCTAATGGAACTAAGCAGGGATGAATTAGAGTTAGAAATAAAAGATAATTAGGGCTTAGGGGGAAGTCAGGTTAGCATTCACATGAAGTGACCTTTTTTTTTTAAAGCAGTGTTGGAATACAGAGCCTTATACATGCTAGGCAAGTGCTACCCTAGAACTACATCAACATGAAGTGTTTTAGACATGCACAGAAAAGTCTAATTTCCTATCCACAACAACAAACTGGTTTTCTGTAACACTAGAAGTAAAGGCAAAAGTCGAAATTTAGGCCTAAAATTCTCAACGTATTTCACTTTTTTAGATTACAGCTATTTCTCAAATGCTGGATCATGTAGATTATTAAATAAATTTAGTAACCTCTAACTAGAATTTGGTCATGGTGACAATGTAAGAGGCAGTGCATGAAGGGAGGTGGGTGGACAGGCACCTGTCACTGCCTACTTCATATTGCAGTGGGCTAAGTGTGAAAATAATCCCTATTAGCATAGTTAATAACTATCAAGCCAAATTTTATAAATGTTAAGCAATGATAATGATTCCTTTCAATAAGCCACCCTTGGCTTGGTTATATAAGATGTTGGGATCAAACTAGTAGCATATTCTTTACCACTAAGATGTTTGACAGCCTTATTTTTTGCATAAAAGAATCACATATAGGATATAATAAAAGCAGGGGACCTAGAAAAACAAAGACTCCCCCACCTTTTTTGCCAGTCAGGGCAAAAACTCAGGGCCTGGGCACTGTCCCTGAGCCTTTTTGTGCTCAAGGCTAGCACTCTACCATGTGAGCCACAGTACCATTTCCGGCCTTTTCTGTTTATGTGGTACTGAGAAATCAAACTCAGGGTTTCATGCGTGCCAGGCAAGCACTCTACCACTAAGCCACAGTCTCACTTCACAAAGACCCATTTTTATGCCCTGATTGTGCTCCTTAGTGCAGTGTAGGTAGAGCAAAAAAGTCAGAAACCTCTTAAAAAGGTTTTTAATCAAGAATAAATGGGACTGAAGAAAGCCCTCAGTCCTTAGAAGCAGGAAGCAGCAACTTACATGTTTCTGCACATCTCCTCCGATCTCTTTACTGATCTTCAAGTACTCTGCCACAGGACCAGCAAGCAGGGAGTCAAAGGCTTGCACATATGGAGCTGTTCCTAACGAGGCACATCAGAAGGAAAACAAAAAACAAAAAAAGCAGTCATGCACAGGACAATCTTCTTTTTTTATTTGGTGCCAGTCCTGGGGCTTAACCTCAGGGCCTGGGCACTGTCCCTGAGCTTCTTTTGCTCAAGGATAGCACTCTACCACTTGGGCCACAGTGCCACTTTTGGCTTTTTCTGTTTTTGTGGTACTGAAGAATTGAACCTAGGGCTTCATGCATGCTAGGCAAGCACTCTACCACTAAGCCACATTCCCAGCCTGGACAATGTCTTTAAAGTACACTTCCATGTAAAAATGGGAGGCAAGGAAATACAGCACCCAGAATAATGGACACCAGGGTCTACTTCTAATACCAACACTAACTGGTTATATGACCTTTTTTTCCCCACTGAGCTTAATTTCCATTGATCCTCCAAGATTCCTTTTAGTTCTAACATTTTATGTTTTGATTAATACATTTACAAAATGGCTATCTTGTCAGTCATTAGGAAAGGAAATTCTAACTTGTCACTTGACTTCAACTGGAAAATTTCAGAACAGGAAATATCACACAACAGGAAGTTCTTGTGTTAAAATAACTTACCCGCAGGCCTCTCTGTGCAAGTCACTTCCTTATCTGTTCTGTTTCTTTTTTATCTGTTTTGGAGCTGGAACCCAGCTCCAAAAGAGAAACTTCACCATGATTAAAGAAAAAGGCCAAGCCAGGTGCCAGTAGCTCACGCCTGTAATCCTAGCTACTCAGGAGGCCGAGATCTGAGGATCGTGGTTCAAAGCCAGCCTGGGCAGAAAAAGACCATGAGACTAATCTCCAATTAACTACCAGAAAACTGGAAGTGGTGCTCGCTCAAGTGGTAGAACACTAGCTTGAGCTGAAGAGCTCAGGGACAGCGCCCAGACCCAGAGTTCAAGCCCCACAACTGACAAAAGAAAAGGAAATAAGGCCAAGACACTCTATAGGCATTATTGGGCTATGGACTGCTTACCTTTTGAAGGATTGTCTCCATACCCACGGTGCATGTCAGAGGTATGGGATACTGCTTCCAGGCGGCCCACTGCCCTCTCCAGTCTTTCTACAAGATTTTGCATATCAGCCATTATGTACCACCTGCTGAACAGATCAAATGTTATTTGCTATTTTAATATTACACACAACACCTACATAGGACTAGAGAGGATGCCAATTCTGTGGAACAGAATTTAATAATAAAATAAAATGGAAAAGTAGTCTAGCTAATTTGCAAAATCATACAGATCTCATTAAACCAAAGATCTACTCAGGAAAAGGTGTTCACTAAAGCAAATCTTATACAAATACTTACTGAACATTTATTACACACTAACAAATATTTGTGTAGGAATTTAGAATTTACAAACTCTAGTCAGAAATTTCTTCCAACTATTCAGGAATCAAAGATAATGACATTTGTTTTTCAGTGATACAAAATAGACCCTGCATCTTCATGAATGCTAACCAAGCTCTCTATCACTGAGCTATATACCATCCCATGAATATATTTTTTTGGGGGGGAAGAAGGGTCCGGTCATGGGCCTGAACTCTGGGCCTGGGCGCGGTCCCTCAGCTCTTCAGCTCAATGCTAGCACTCTACCACTTGAGCCACAGTGCCACTTCCAGCTTTTTTTTTTTCTGCTTATGTGGTGCTGAAGAATCGAACCCAGGGCCTCATGCATGCAAGGCAAGCGCTCTACCACTGAGCCACCTTCCCAGCCCTGAATATATTCTTTAAGATAAAAAACTTAATTTCAATGACATTAAATAATTGCCTATAGTTAACAGAGAATTCAGTACTTAATTCAAGTCTGGCTTTAAGTTCATTTTGGTTCTTCCCAGCCCAACTTGCCTGCAATAGGAAGCCTCAAAGCAAAATAAATAGGTTACTTACCCTGCCCTGACCTCAATTATTTATAGTCTAATGGGAGAGAAGGGGCAACGCTTACACACCAACAACTTACACACACCACCTATAACATAAAAGAGGAAAAGTTTAAAGTGATCTAAGAAAGCTGCAGATAATGGCATGCAGTTTCAGAAAGGGGAAGAGTATATCTGCTGGAAGGATCAGATAAGGACATCTTGGAGAAGCTGCCACCTGAGCCATACTTCAAATGAGGATGGGTAGGACCTAAACACCCAGAAGACTAGAAGGAGACCAGATATATCCTAAAGGGGTTGTTACAGATCTTTCTCAAGTACTAATTCATCTGAACTGCATTCAATGTATAAAGTCCTAAAGAAAAGTAAGCTTGAGAGAAAAGGACCTTATCTAATCTATTTCTTGTTCTACTCTACTATGTAGACCTCTACCTGATAGGTGGTAGGTGGTCAATTAGTATTTAAAGTTAACGAACCAAAAGTATATAGCACTTGAAAATTCCACAGGGAGTTCTGAAAGCTATTAATACTATACATACAGGTGTAAAATGTTACCAATATGCATCTACATAAAGTATGAGCAATGAGTGATTTATAAAAATCACTTATTATAACTGAAAGCCTTGGATTAGATTCCATTTAGAATCCATAAAAAGGGACTGGAGCTGTGGCTCAAGCACAAGGCTTTAAGTTCTATCCTCAGTACAGCAAAAAACGTATTAAGTGTACCTAATATTTGGGGCTAGGAAGGTGGCTCAGTGGTAGAGTGCTTGCCTTGCATGCATGAGGCCCTGGGTTTGATTCCTCAGCACTACATAAGCAGAAAAAGCTGGAAGTGTGACTCAAGTGGTAAAGCACTATCTTTGAGCTGAAGAGCTGAGGGACAGCACGAAGGCCCAGAGTTCAGGCCCCAGGACTGGCCAAAAAAAAAAAGTATCTAATATCGGATTGGGAATGTGGCTTAGTGGTACAGTGCTTGCCTAGCATGCATGAAGCCCTGGGTTCAATTGTTCAGTACCACATAAACAGAAAAGGCTGGAAGTAGCACTATGGCTCAAGTTGTAGAGTGCTAGCTCTCAGGGACAGTGCCCAGGCCCTGAGTTCAAGCCCCAGGACTGGCCAAAAAAAAAAAAAAAAAAAAATCTAATATTTATAATAACAATAAAAAATTTTAAGCATTCAAGAAAAATACAAGAATAAGAACTCAATCAGCTTTCCTATTCCCTTGAATGGAAGTAAGCAGCAGCAGCCTTTAGGCCTATGGACTCACTCACAAAAATAGAGAAGCCTTCCCTTATGTTATGTAGGATCATTATTAGTATCCACATTGCTGCCATGTTTCATTCTGGGAACTGATCAGAAACAGACTCCAAAAAATCCAAGGGGGAAGGCAAGTGATATAGTTACCTTTCATGATGTATAGATACCCAGTTCTGTTACAAAATGTGTTCCTTCATACACAATTAAGACCAGTGTTGTATGGCAATACAAGTTGTACAGGTTGTGTAAGTTGCCAGGGTTCTGAACACTTACCTGTTTTTGTTTTGTTTTTTGGTGGTGGTACTAAGGCTTGAATTCAAGGGCTTGTGCTTGCTAGGCTCTACCACTTGCTCTACCACTTGAACCATACACCCCCCAACAATTTTTTGCGTCAATAATTTTTTGGATAGGTTTTTGTGCTTTTTGCTTGAACTGGACTTGGGATTGCAATCTCCATCTCCACCTTCTATTTATAGATGTTCCATCATCCCTGGCTTACCAATCTTACATTTCACTTGTGCTTATAGACTCTCACTACTAAACAAGCTACAGTTCTGAGGTCTGAATTAAGCAGAATGAGGGACGTATACAGCTGCTATTGATGGTTAGTGTCATTCTATCTCAAACCAAATACAGAACAAAACCTGTCCTTTTGTTTTGTGGTGAAGGTAGAATGAGATTGGATATATCATTGGAAAGAATGTACTGAAAGACACACCTCTGGGGCTGGGAAGGTGGCTCAGTGGTGAAAGACACACCTCTTTCTCACCCTCTACACACATACACATACTCTTTAGGCAATGAAGTTCACTCCTCCCAAGATTCAGCTACCATTACTGCAGTAACACCCAGCCCATTTTCAGATGGTACCACTGCAACCACTTATAGTCTAGAGACTCCTGAAGGAGCATATCCAGCTCAAACTATTCTTCCAGAATTCTGAATCTCTTTTTTTTTTTGTCGGTCGTGGGGCTTGAACTCTGGGTCTGGGCGCTGTCCCTCAGCTCTTCAGCTCAAGGCGAGCACTGTACCCCTTGAGCCAGAGCACCACTTCCGGTTTTCTGAGACGTTTATTGGAGATAAGTGTTTCACAGACTTTCCTGCCTGGGCTGGCTTTGAACCGTGATCCTTAGATCTCAACCACCAGCACCCAGCAAGAATTCAGAATCCTGAATCAAGTTTTTACTTGACATCTCTTCACTCTTCACATCATTTTATTTAGACATCTCTCCCTTATTGTCCCCAAAGCACCTTAAATTAAAATGTCTAAAACAGAACTCCTCTTACTAACAACATTCCTCATAATCTAACCCCACCATCCTAGTGGTATAGAACAGCCTGCAATCTCATAATTAGCCAAACGAATAACCTGGAAACCACTAGGCAATAGAGTAACCATAAATAAGAGTGGTTTTCAGAAAAATCAGAGATGGGTGTTATCAAACTTTCTAAGCCTTAGTTTCCTTATCTACGTAATGTAGAGAATGAAATACAAAATCCAGGGGGTGAGAGGAAAAATAAATCCAAGTAGAAGTACTTGGCAGTAAAGATTCCATAAAAATTTAAAAAGTTGCTGGGCGCCAGTGGCTCACACCTGTAATCCTAGCTACTCAGGAGGCTGAGATCTGAGGATCACGGTTCAAAGCCAGCCCAGGCAGAAAAGTCTGTGAGACTTTTATCTCCAATAAACCACCAGAAAACCGGAAGTGGCGCTTGGCTCCAGGCAGAGCACTGGCTTTGAGCTGAACCCCCCAGGCCCAGAGTTCAAGCTCCTTGACCATCATCTAGTCATCAAAATCTACGGCTTGATTTTTTTTAATTAATTTATTCTTATTATAAGAGGTGATATACAAAGGTGTTAAAATTACATGCGTCAGGCAAGGAATATATTTCCTTTCATACAGTGTCTTCTATTCCCTCATTCTTTCCCAGTCCCTCACTCTGGTCTCCACCCACAAGCTGTATAGTTTACTTTCATCAATGTCTAGTGAACTCCACTGCTGCACTTTTTCCCTCCTCTCCCAAACCTTCTGAAGATGTACTCTAGAATACGCCATACATAAGATAAAGACAGAATCATCCAAAAGTAAACAACTAAGAAAAAAAAAGTCTCATTTTCCTATCTTCAGTTACGTATATTATTTTATATAAATATGAAGAAGCACTAAGGCACTGCAACTTAGTGTTTCTACCCAGAGTATCCTCTTTTGGTCTCACTGTGTTTGAGTAACTACAATCCTGCATAATTTATCATATCCCAGTACATTTTAGATCTAATTTCCTCATATCAAAGAGAACATGCACTGTGGCTCTATTTTGCATATCATACAAATAGATACCCCTTGCCACTATCCTGACATTAAAAAAAAAAAACAAAACAGGTAATAAAACTTTGCATAGGTTACTACAAAAACTTCCCAACTAGTGTTCGTTAATTTCAATAATACATCTGTCTTTGCCCATTCTTCATATTATTGCCAGTGATCTGTCTCAAATGTCAATATGATTAAGATTTTTTTTGGGGGGGGGGTAGGTCACAGGACTTGAACTCAGGGCCTGGGTGCTGTCCCTGAGCTCCTTTTGCTCAAGGATAGTGCTCTACCACTTTGAACCATGGCTCACTTCTGCTTTTTTTGGAGATGAGAATCTCATGGGATCTTCCTGCCTGGGCTGGCTTTGAATCTTGATCCTTAGATTTCAGCTTTCTCAGTAGCATGAGCTACTAGCACTTAAGATATTCTTTTATTTGATACTGTTAAATACTTCCCACAGAGTTCAGAGTAAAGTCCAAAGAAGGGTTTCCATAACCCCCTCTCTTATTTCCTAAGCCCCTGTCCCATTTTAATTCTTACTGTACCTTTCCCTAAAGAAACCCAGGACCTACTTGCATATTCCAGAAAGAGTTATGCTTTCTCATACTTCTGAGCCTGCTGAGTGGCAATCTGCCCCATCTCTGG